AATGTTTTCTCTCTCATCCTATTGCTGAGCCAACTCCCCTACAGCAATGGCCAGACTTGAGAAAGAACCAGAAAATGGGATGTACAGTAGGGAGAGTGACAGGGCCCCTGGAGACTGCTTTCAAGAGAGCATAGGGCAGAGTCAGAGCCTTTGAACTTGGAAACCACGTAGAGAGTGGTGTCAAGTGGGTTCTATCTGCCCATGTGGGTGGGGCGGGGCAGGAGATGGCCTTCTTGTCTCATGGACATAAACAGGGCTGGGTGGCAGAGCGCTTAGGAAGAGGGTGGGCTTGACACCATGGAACTGAGCCCTTACTGCTAGAGCCCTGCTGATGATCTTTCTGTCCTTAGAATCCCCATGCCTCATGCCTGTTGATGTGTCGGAACCCAAGTATGTCAGCCAGCAAATGAGCTAGTGAGGATCTGAGGAAACCAGGCATGGCCAGGGCGGGGAACTCACCCAAGGTGAAGGGACTCGGGAGCCAACTTACGGTTTTTCCCCCTTTGCCGATCACCCGGCCAGCTGTCGATGAGGGAACCCGGATGTGGGCTTCCAGCTTTACCTCTTCTTTGGGATTAAAGAAGTTTTCTTCTTTCAGCTTCCCAAAGATCCGTCCCTGAGCCTGAGAACAAGATGACTGGTGACTGGGCCAGCTGCTGGCCATGCCACCTTGTCAGTGCTGTGTGGGAACTAGGAGCCTCAGTTTCAGAATGTGTGGTTTTCTCTCCAGGCACATGGGCAGCTGCTACCCACTCAGTTCTTACAAAGCGGTGTGTATGTGCACCCATGCACTGAACAACCTCACTCTACCGTCTGCCTCAGGCTTGCATGTGATTGCTTCCTCTAGGGAATGTGTGTCTAGGTTGGGAGCAACTGGTGAACCACCAAGACTGCATCCTTATTACCATATCCCCAGTGCCTGTAAATGCTTGCTTGGCTGACTTTGTTTAAGGCATCCTAACTCTCCTCCACTGTATGCTCAGTGCTCTGGTTACTGAAGGAGGCGAGCAGGTGGTGACAGCCTTTGGTAACTCTGAACATGCTGATGCTTTCCTTTTTTCTTTTGTGACGCTCATAAACTCGTGGCCCTGACATGCTAGTAGAGTCATCACTCCAGCATGTACTTGGTAGTCAGTGAGTTGTAGGACCATCACCACTATCCAGAATATCCTGGCTCCTCCATCACCCAACGTTAGCACAAGCCCATAATCCCAGTTTCTCAGGAGGCTGAAGAAAACAACTGCAGGTTAAGGCCAACCTGAGCAACTTAGTGAGAGCCTGTATCAAAATTAAAAAACAAAAACAAACAAAAACAAAAACTAGAAGAGGACTGGGAATGTGGCTCAGTGGCCAAGAGCTTGCTGACCCCTATGTGTGAGGCGTGGGACTCAATTCGTGGACTGGCCTGTCACTGTCAGCTACCGCCATACTGTTCAGCCGCTAGCTTCTACCCTTCCTACTGCCCTTCTCCGGTCTACCAGCTATCTTTATGGGTTCTGACAGGACACTTCATGCCTGTGGGGCCATGACCTGCATGCTCTTATTTCTCTCGGTTCATCCCCTTTGTAGCATGCATTGGAACTTCATTCTCTTGTGTGGCAAAATTCTCTTGTGTAGATATACCACATTTTGTTTGTTCGTTTTCCTTTTTTTTCCCCACTGTAACAATTTTTTTATTTTATGCATATTGGTATTGTGCCATGGGTGTCAGTCAGGTCCCCCTGGAACGGAATTACAGATAGTTGTGCTATGCCATGTGGATGCTGGGAATTGGATCCCGGTTCTCTGCAAGAGCAGCCAGTGCTCCTAATTGCTGAGCCATTTCTCCAGCCCCCGCTGTTTGATCATTTTCAAGTTGAAGGCTTTTGAATGGTTCCCTAGGACTTTAATTATAAGGGCCAAACTTCTATAAATCAAAACACATTTCTGAGTTCTTGAAATTCAGGCTGTAATGTTCTTAGAGGGAAGAATACCAGAAACAAAGCAATGATTCTCACAAAAAAACCTCTCCCCAATACTGCTAGAATTCCCTCAGAGGCTGCAGAGCTTCCTCGACGAAAGGCTGGAGGGGCCCAATCAGAGATGTGCTGGAGGTGCTGCCATCCCCAATGGGAGCCAACAGACAAACCCACCTTTCTTCAGAGAGAAGGCAGAGCACAGAGGAGAAACGAGGAAGCAGGCACGAGTCTGACCAGTGAACAGCAGGAGGGAAATGAACACTAAGCTGCCACAGAAGAACCTCAACACCTCTGGGCTGTCACCTGAGCCTGCAGGGCCAGCATTGTCTTTGGCACTGACCTTGAACTGGGCTTCAGGTGGCCCGGTGATGATGACCATCCGTTCACTGACATCCGGACCTTCTGCTGGAGCTATCTGCAGTTGGAGAAAAGGAACATGCTGATGGTGAGCCCCTCTGCTTGTCTGAGAGTGTGCTGACACAAGCTGATGACTTCGAGCTCCATATTTTGTCTGACACAGTGTCACCTCTGCGCTGGGTCTTAGGAAGTCATGACCTTAATTCTCAGTATCAAAATGGGTTTTTGGCTGTCCTCTATGAGATACAGGCTCTGCCAACCCCCGAGGCCCTAGAGCAAAGAAAAGGGTAGGCCACATAACACTATCCAGTGAGTTTCTAGCTGCAGGAAAGGTTAGCCAGGCTCTAACTCTCAGTTCACAGATGAACCAGCTGTGACAGAGGCAGCAGAGCAGGTATGGCTGTCACTAAATGATGAGGCTGCCTTGGTTCTAGTCATGGCTCTGCAAACCCTTCCTCACTCACCTGTGGAACACGGGAGGACTGAGCCAGCTAGCTTTTAATCCTGTAAGGATACAGAACAAGGACCTCACCAATAATTTGTTAGAGGCTGTGGTGGTTTGAATAAGAATGACTTGATATAGGTTCATATATTTGAATGGTTAGGAAGTAGCACTGACTGAAAAGATTGGGAGGTGAGGCCTTACAGGAGGAAGCATGTCATTAGAGTTTCAGGAGCCTAGATCAGGCCCAGTGTGTCTCTCTTTCTGCTGCCTATGGAGCCAGATGTAGAACTCTCAGCTACTTCTCCAGAACCATGTCTGCTTGCATGCCACCATGTTTCCCTTCATGATGACAATGGACTAAACCTCTGAACTGTAAGAAATCCCCTATTGAATGCTTTCTTTTGTAAGAGGTGCCATTGTCACACCAGGTGGTGGTGTGCAAGCCTTTAATTCCAGCACCTGGGAGGCAGGGTGATCCTCACAAAAAGACCTCTCCCCAATACTGCTAGAATTCCCTCAGAGGCTGCAGAACTTCCTTGATGTAAGGCTTCTCTGCACCCACAGCTGGAGGTCAAGTTGATCACTTAGGCCTTGATCAGTCCCTATTCTCTCCGTGTCTTCTCCAGGAAAGTGGTGCAGGGATGAAAAGAGCCCCTCAAAGCCCTTTGGTCCAAACTGTCTCACTGTGGTTTTTCAGCATCTCAGACTACAGAACTGAATACCAACAAAGATCTTCTGGTGCAGCCTGCCTGTTCTCATGCCCACTTTCTCCATCTAGGCCAGGATGCTACCTGTGTCAAGCCACTGGGCACAGAGGTCCCCATGGTGTGAGTCTGTAACTGCAAGCAGAGTCCAGCAAGGTGCAATTCTTTCCCACTGGCACTGCAGTCCTCATTCTGCACAACTCAGAATGTTTTCTTTTTGTTCTTTTCCCCTGTCACACTTGCTGCGGGAGGATCTCCAGCTCCAAGGGAGAAAGTGTAAGTATTTTTTTCTCTCCAGGTCATGTGACTCGTTTCATAATTCTGGGTTGTCTCATGGTAGTGAGTTATTTTCCATAGCAATGGGAAGCACTTCCCAAACTGTTCCACAGGGTTTGCAGTATCTCAGTGGAGCAGACAGCTGAGCTTGAAGCAGGCCCATGGCAAACAGACAGTCCTGGACAACAGAGGGAGGCAGGATCTGGGACTAACCAAAGCCACATCTGTACACATCTCTCTTACATGCCAAGAGGGCTTCTCTATCCTTCTGCTCAGTCCTGGCCTCTTAACAGGTGTTGCCATCAACTTCTGTCTGCCTATGATTTTACCAGAACTTTCTAGAAAGAAAGTTCTTCATTCCATTTGTTTTCTCTTAGTCTGTAAGTTCTTGCAGCATGGACTAGCAGAAACATTGGCGTGCTGAGTGTTAAGCATAAACGCTAATTGCACTCGAGCGCATCCCCTTAGCTTGGGAAACATCGTCAGCCTTCTTTTATCTTCATGGCAAGAAGGAAGAATGCCAATCCTCAGAAGACCCTGTTTGGTCACTACTAGCATCTTTCTTCTAACTTAGTTGTTTGAGCAGGAAAGGACTAAAATGAAGAATGGTTCTGGAAGTGCACTCTGCAGATTCCATCTCTGGGTCGCGTAAGAACTGTCTGGCACTGACGAGAGGAGGACCTCGGGAACAGCAGCTGGTAGCAGTTGGCTTACCTTGATGGAGGCACCAGCAAATCGAGCCAGCTGTTTGATGTGTGCCCCCTTTTTCCCAATAATAGCACCCACAGCCTGGGTTGGGATGAAGAGATTCACAGTCTCCTGCTCTGGGTACTGGAAAAGAACACACGCACAACTGTCATTTTAACCTGGCACTTCACAGCCCAGCTAAGTAACCTTCAGAGTACCGGTATGGGAAGACCTCACTATCCAGGTAGATGGCCAAAGTGGCATGCTTGATCTTTGTGTGGCCTGGTGTTTTCTTCATGAACCCAAGCAGGGTTTCGCAAGCCTACAAGCACCTCTGGGCACCCGTGTTAGCTGGACACTAGCAGCTGTCTGTTTCTGGGTTCTCTAATATACACAGATTTGATATGTGTTTCCTGGTGTCTTCATCCAAGAACCAAAATGGTTATTTTGTGATGGCTCAGTGTATTAAAAAGTGCTTGCCATGCAAGCCTGATGACCCGAGTTCGATCCCTGGAACTCACAATTCCTGAAAGTTGGCTTGACCAATATTACATAAAATAGTAAAAGCTGACTAAACACACCTGGCCACAGACAGAGGGAAAGCTGTCCAGTCTGTCCTGTAACTAGGAATACCATTTTACAAGGTAACTCACCCTGCTCTGCCCATGCCTCATGGTGAGTACCCTGGGAGGCGGGAAGCCACCTCTCCCTGGAAACCCCTGAGGAAAGATGGAGGCTATTAGGTTAGGCCAGGCTGCCAAAGGTTCTCATGGGAATGATGTGTCTTCCTTCAGTTGTTAAGACTTTGATTAAAAAACACCAGCAAAAAAAAAAAATACTATGGTGTATGCCTATGTACATGTTCATGTGTGTGTGTATGTGTATGCTGGAGGCCAGATGCTGACACTGGTGTCTTCTTCAATCACTCTACCTTACTGATTGAAGTGACACAGTATCCTTTATGACCTGGGCTCACTGTTCTAGCTAGACTACCTGGCCAGTGAGATTCAGGGATCCTGTCAGTACTTCCTCAGCAATAGGAGCACCCCACACCTGGCTTTTATGAGGGTGCTTAGGATTCGAACTCAGGTCCTCATGCTTTTATGGCATGTACTCTGCCAACTGATCCACATACCCTGCTTACTGGAAACTTCTTTAGCCTATTAATATTTTCTAACTGGTTTTCTTTCTTTTGTGTTTTTAATATATTTTAAAAAGTATGGAGGGCTGGAGAGATGGCTCAGAGGTTAAGAGCATTGGCTGCTCTTCCAGAGGTTCTGAGTTCAATTCCCAACAACCACATGGTGGCTCACAACCATCTAGAGTGGGATCTGATGCCCTCTTCTGGCATAAAGGTGTACATAAAGATACAGCAGTCACATATAAAATAAAATCTTTAAAAGTCTCTCTCTCTCTCTCTCTCTCTCTCTCTCTCTCTCTCTGTGTGTGTGTGTGTGTGTACATGAGCGTGTGCACACATGTGCATAATTGCAGGTGCCTACAAAAGCTAGAGATACCAGATCCCCTGGAGCTGGAGTTACAAGTGACCATCAGCCACCTGACGTGGGTGCTGGGAATTCTGGTCCTCTGGAAAAGCAGTATGCACTCCTAATGACTGACCACAGCTCTAGTCTTTTGTTCTTTAAGGAAGGATTTTACTCTGTATGTAGCTCAGGCTGGCATGAAACTCACTACACAGCCCAGGCTGACCTCGAACTCTTAATCCTCCCACTCATGGTTTGAGGATAACCTAAGAGGAGGCCACAGAGTCAGGGGGTTTCCCAGCACTGTGAAGCAGGGTGGCTTGGCACTTACACTTTAAACTGTATCACTCCTGGGACAGCCTAGCAGGACAGCAGAGAACATTCACACTGTGACCATTCACTGGCTGGTTCATCAGGACTATGTGGGGCCAGCCGTGGGGCAGGAAGGATGGTGGCTGGGGCAGGTTGGAAGGGCACTTACGGAGTGATGATGTGGGAATGGGCCGAAATGGTGATGAGGGTACATGTTGGGAAAGTATCCGGAGTGGCTCTGCATAGGAACGAGACATTCAGTGAGTCGGGCATCTGTTTCCACGAAGCACATGCTCTGTGAACCACACCATCTATAGACCTGTGCTTCTAACCTCTGAACCCTTGGCAAGTTTGCAGGTCCCAGGGCTGCAGCTTCTAAGATGAGCTTTACTCTCTAGGAATTCAGCCCACTCCCACTCTCACTGCTCGGACCCACCTTTTGGTGAATACAGGGCTAGTGGCGCCTATTTTATGGGGGAATTACAAGTTGTACATTACAAGTAACAGAGACTACTGGGGACAAAAGCCAAAATTTATTCAGAACAAGCAAATGTGATCCTGGGAAGACAGACCAGCGTTAACTACATCAGAGATTCCCAGAAAGAGCAGAAACTCACTGTGGAGAAACTGAAAGCTACAGAAAGAGAAAGGAAGTGTGCAAATATGGAGGGCCGATGTGGGAAGGGGGGAAGCAGAAGGGCGGAGTATAGCTATTTCAAAAATCCAAGTTGAAACAGTAGCTAATTTTTAATGGAATAGCTACAGCATAGCAGGGACTGATTCTATATCTATTTGTAAGTTCTTTGTTTGTTTGTTTGTTTTTTGTTTTTCAAGACAGGGTTTCTCTGTGTAGCTCTGGCTGTCCTAGAACTCACTCTGTAGACCAGGTTGGCCTTGAACTCACTGATACCTGCCTGCTTCTGCCTCCCAAGTAGAGGTGCGCTACCACTGCCCAGCTTATTTATAAATTCTTACGCCCCCCCCCCCCCCCCCCCCCCCCTCACCCCTCCCTTCCCAGCAGCGGTCCTGTGAGACAGAAACATATCTGAGTTCACAGATACTAAAGCTGGCAAAGCTGTGTTAACTATGTTTTCCATAAGGTCAAGTAAGCAGTACTCTGTCACCACCGAGAAGGTGACAGGTGCAGGGCACCAAGGCACACAGCCCTGCCTGACAGAGGGAGGTGTGGATGGAGCTAAGGGCCCTGAACACATTTCAGGGTGATGAGTGTCTTCCACCGTCTGAATCTCCAGCAAGACTCAGCACAGATTAAGATTCACTTATGATTCCTTACCAACAAAACCGACCCTTCTCTTAGGTCGGAGAGAAAGGACCGAGTTATGAGCACCCTGCAGTGATTCCCAGGTTCTAGAAGGGTCAAATGCCTGGGGCATCAGAGCTCATACCTTGATTGAACTCAAGAGACTGCAGTGATGCCTCTGCCCACAAGGGGGTGCCACTAGACCAGGGTCTCAGGGAAGCCTCATGTTTTGAAGGCTCTCTGGGAATCACATGCACTCCAGTTCTTTCTCTGTGAAGGTTCCTATTCTGGAGTATGGCTGGTAGGCACAGGGGAGACAATTCCTGCAGCTTTTTCCGCTCAAGGCTCTGACCAGGGGAAATGAAGCCTTTGCCTGTCTCTGGCCCCAAGCACTTGTCCTTCAGCTCCCATAGCAAAAGCAATCCCTGTGAATTGTGATTCTAACCCCCATGCAAAGCCAAGAACAGATCTAGAGCACAGCTTGTATCTGTGAACTCACAGCCCTAACATGAACACTGACCAAATCAGTCCCAGCCTGGGATAAAAGAGAGCTTTTTAAATTAGTTGTAAAAATTGATAATAAGGACAGATTGCTTCCAGCCCTAAGGAAGAGCCGCAGGGTTGCTGGAGGAAGAATTCTGAATTTAGCAGCCAGATTTCTAGCTGAGGTTCGGACCTAAGCCTGAGTCTGAATCTCTAGCCACAAATGGGACAATTTTTTCAAACCCACAGACTCAAATACCTACATCTGATTGTATTTGGCCATCTGCACACTCACTCAAAAGCTTTTGAGCACACACCATATAAGAGACTTTATTCTAGGAGATAGGGACACAAGGGGACTTACAGTCTATTTGTGAGACAAATGCAAAAAATAACTTCAGAGAAGCCTTAAGACAGTGGCCAGGAAGATGGAGTGAGCCAGCAGTGAGTTCTTAGAGGATCAGGCCAGGATGGGCTGTCCTGTTTGAAATTTAGGCAGAAGGCTAGCTTGCTGAATGCAAAGGAGAAGGCAGGAGTTGAGATCATGACTTGAAGACCTGGTCCAGATGTGGACTGCCCTCAGGCCCATCTGTGAGCCAAAAGGGGTGGGCTGTTTTAAGGAGTGTAAATGATTCGGGCGGCATTGGTGGTGTACACCTTTAATCCCAGCACTTGGGAGGCAGAGGCAGGCAGATCTCTGAGTTCAAGGCCACCCTGGACTATAAGAGCTAGCTCCAGGAGTGCAAATGAGTATTTATTTACAACAAAGCACTGTCTACCAGTGGCCTTTCTCTTTCCCATCTCCCCATGCCAGGGTGGAGCTAGCAGCATCTAATGGAAAGAGATTTTCTGTTTCCTCTGGTGATCAGAAGGCAAGCAAGCTATCAGGGACCTGAGGAAAGCAGGGTGCAAACACCTGCCCAAAGGGCCAAGGTCACCTGTCAGTAGACAACTTCCTCTTGACCCTGGTTCACTCATTCCCAGCTGAAAAGACAGCAGGCAGGCGCTCCCTCTGGAACCAGGGATGTGTACACAGGACAGGCAAGGACTTGGACAGTTTTCCAAGGTTAGGGAGGTTCAGTGTTCTATCCCAGACTGTCAAAACATCTGATCCCAGCAGTTTATCCACACTGGGTTCTCTTAGGACAACTGGAGGAGAGGGTGCTGGGGACTAGAAACTAAGGAAGCAAGAACTAGAAGCAAGATGAACCTGGCTGGACCTTTGACTCTGCAGCCCAAGTTTTGTTTGTTTTTCCCCCTAGTATATCTTTACTTGCAAGTGTTCACTGCAAAGAGTCATTAGTCTGGCTGAGGCCTCTGGTTTCTGCTACACTATCAATGCTAGGCCCCCCACTAGGACTCCTCTTGAGTATTCTGTTGTTGCCTTGTACATGGAGATTCTGTAGCTTTTGGTCTGCGGCTCAGGTTCCTTCACGTGCTCTAGTAGATCATAGATGGGGTGGGCCAAGTCATAACCCTGCTGTGGGCCTGGGTAGTTGCAGGGCTGGTCAGCTCACCAGCTCTCCCTTGTCCTCATCACCAGGGTGAGCTCTCCAGCATTGTCCTGGTTAGTTCACCCCATGCAGCAATGAGCAAGGGGCTGGTCCAGTCCTCCCACTTTTACTTCCTCAGGGTTGGCTCTCCTATACCTACACCTACCCCTACCCCTTCAGGGCCAGCTCTACCGTGTTTCCCAGGGTGGAGTAGGGGCCTCTCTCCCAAGTGCTACAGCTGATGAGGGGCAGGGCCAGTTAGTTCTGTTGCTCTTACGACCTCAGGGCCAGGTCTCCCACCTGCCTCAGGCATTAATGGGCTCTGTGTGTGTGTGTGTGTGTGTGTGTGTGTGTGTGTGTGTGTAGGGAATTGTGCACATAAGGCATCTCTCCCTCACCCATGCCACAACATGGCAGATGAATAATGGGCACAGCTCTCCCATGTTCACAACTTTGGGCTGGCTCACCCACACCTTTGCCTACAGGATTGATACAGCCTGAGATCTTAACCACTTTGGCTTCCCTGATCTGCTCATGCCTGGAGCAGGCTAAGTGAGGTCAGGTGGAACCCTCAGGGGAACACTATCAATACTGCCCTATGGACTCATTAATATATCCTCTCGAGTTTACTTAAATACACGGAGGTACAATTAAATCTCATTAGGCATATAAAAAGATCAGTGGGGAGAGGGCAGCAAGGCCAATCCACAGGTCCACTGAACAAGTTCTGAAAGCAAGCAAGCTCCCAGAGAAGGCAGGAGACAGACACAGTGTGACAAAGGGAAACCCTCATCTACCTAGAGGTTTCAAAAAGTCCCCAGCAGGAGACTGAGCATGTGCTCAATTGGTAAGTACCCGTGGAGCCCAGCAACAAAGCCCTTGTGAACCAGGTGTGTGGTGTCACATGCCTGTCATCAGATCACGGATCGGCGGCAGCAAAGCAGAAGGTGGAGTCCATCTTGGGCTACACAGGCAGTCAGTGGGGCAGCCTGCACTACAGGGAACTACCACCAGCAAATACATAAGCAGAAAAAGGAAAAAGGAAAGTCTGCGAGCCTTGTTAAGAAAATTATAAAAAGATCTGGGTGGTGGTGCACGCCTTGAGTCCCAGCACTCAAGCCAGAGGCAGGCAGATCACTGTGAGTTCCAGGCCAGCCAAGGCTACAAAGGGAAACACTGTCTTGAAAAAAAAAAAAAAAAGAAAAAAGAATACAAACATATAATATTAGGAATCAAAAGAAACAAATGACCACAAGGTGGGACATTTAAAAATGGAAACAATCTGTTATGTACAACTTTATGGTGTCGTATCTAAAATAGAGATAAAATGGATTTCCCCTCTCATGCTGGAGAGCAAACACAGAGCCCTCCACTGAGTTTCAACTCAACAAGTGAAATGGACACTTTCATAAAACTGTGGTGGCTTCTGTACAGACACAGGGTTGAATTGAATAGGATGAAGTGAAGAACTATGATGAGGTAGGGTGTGAGACAGTTGGAACAAGTCAAGGTGGAGCACTCACCCTGGGCGTGGGGGGGCATGGGTGCGTGGGGGAGGGGGGAGTCATGGGATGATCACAGGAGGATCAGTGGCTCAAAGCCATCCTCAGCCACAGAGCTAGTTGGAGACCATATTGGGCTACATGAGACCTTGTCCCAAAGAATCAAAAGCAAAATAAAGGGCAAGAGTTGAATTTCAAATTGACCGATAAAACAACAGATTACTCAATAAATTACTTTGGGAAACTGGCTATTCACTTGGAAAAATAATAAAGTTAGATCAAGATAAATGCCCTGCAAAATACAGTATAAACACCCCCCAGCAAAACCAACAACTGAAAATAAGTATAAGGAAAACATTTTTACGATCTTGAATGAAGGCGATTTTTCCTTCGCATGACATTAAAGGCCAAAAGCCCCAAAGAAAACATCGTATCTCTACTTTTTATTTATTTATCGATTTCATTTCTTGAGACAGGGTCTAGCTATGTAGCCCAGGCTGCCTGAAACTTTTGGAATCCTACCCCGCAGCCTACCAGCTGCTAGGATTATAGGCATAAGTCATCATTCAGGGATTCCTTAAGCAAATGAATCTTCATGCTTAAAAATTCTGTGCCAATTTGGTCTAAGAGAAAGCTGTGGTATTTGCATTGCATACATCATTTTCTCCTATAATTTCAGTTACCAATGGCTTTCACTTTCAGACAGACCCCTTAGGGCTCCCTATGCAGCCTTCCCAGGAAGTGAGATGTCTTTGACGCCTTTTAGCGGTGCCAAGCTGGTTATTACATCTCACGGCGAAGGTAAAGGACACGAACTCCACATCTGTCCCACGTGCTTCTGCCACAACCCCTGCATTACACACACACACTGTTCAGTGGTGGCTCCACTCTTAGTTTAAGGGAAACTGGACAGAACCAAAGATCTGGCATGCAGTGCTCCCAAACACCTCAGAGAAGCTTCTGTGACAGAGGTGGGCATGGTGACAGTTCATGCCTGTGTTGAGGGTGTGAACACAGGGGACCCCCATGAGCCACTAGCCATGCCTACAACCAGAGAGCAGAACAGAGTTCACCCACTTGATTCTCCCCCATGGAAACAGTTTATACACAAAGAAAGGTTTGAGAGAAGAGAAGGTGGGAAGGGCAGCTGTCATGTGTCCGGTGTCTTCAGCCCTCATTTGGTAATGTACTAACCCTGATGATGACTGTGAGTGAGAGCAACAAGTGGAGCACACACTCACATTTCTTTCACTATTATGAGTCAAACAATATTTATTGATAACCTACTAAATACTAGGCAGCGTGGGGTTTAGTGTCAAACACGCAACACGGTGGCATTTTCTTTTTAAAACTTCCTTTCAATAAAGTATGTTTGATTAATGGACAAAGGGGGAATGTATATCTATTCAAGAATAATCCAGGTATTTTAACATTTGTGTTAAATAACACTCATGAATGTTGTTTGAAATAACGATTCTTTTTCTTTTGCTATTCTTTTTTGAGACAGGGATTCTCTGTGTAGCTCTGGCTGTTCTGGAACTTTCTCTGTAGATCAGGCTGGCCTTTGAACTCACAAAGATCCACTTGCCTCTGCCTCCCAAGTGCTGGGATTACAGGTGTGCGCCAACACTGCCAGACCAATAACTTTTATCTTTATAAAATGGACCTCAATGAATCGGTGAGCAGTTCTTTTTCTCTGTGGCATGACACCATATTTGAGAGCATACATTCAGAGTTTGGATAAGTAGTCATTTCCCCACTGAACAAGCTTCTTTACTCATAATCATCCATGAAGACAGACTGCAAATAAAGGCCTTTGCCCTTACTAATAGAGTAGCAGAGTAGTTGTGCTGCCTGGAGCTGCCCAGCAGGAGTGACCCTCGGGACTCTGAGCTACTTACAGCGAAGGGGTGGTAGGGGACACTGGGGGGAACTCCACGGGGCCCTGCTGGTGGAGGAAGCACGGACAGTCCTGTTGAAAAGATGCCAAGTGCACTGAGGTTCAACCCTGGGATTAGATTGGCTTGTTGCTGGGAATAGAAATGAAGAAAAGAGATGAGGGAGAGAAGCCTGGGGAGGCCAGGCTTGCTGTGGCCAGCCTCCACCTCCTGTCTGCACGACACCAGTGTCTTCCAGTCAGCTCCACCCTATTACCTGGACTTCTTCACCTTGTACTGGGCATGGACAACAAATCTCAACCTCTCAACTGAACTGTGACATTGCTTCCAAGCATCCCTGCCACCCTCGGGTTTATCTACACATCTGACTGTGGCCAACGATGTCTTCACTCCCCCGCTCCCTGAATACCCTGTGCCCTGTTGTTGTTCCTTCCTCACCTATGCCCCCACCCCCACCCCCGCCAGTTCACATGGCCTTTCTAGGCTCTCCTAATACTCCCATTCCCTCAAAGATACAAGACAGAAAGTGACTGGCTCATTGCCTTGCTCCTGCCTCACTTCCTTGATCAGTGGTCATTTTACTTGGAGCTGTATTCAGTGTCTGACAACATCAGTATTCAATAAATATTTGTTGAATGAGAACAAATACTAGTCTTTTCTAATTAACCAAGGTCGGGTCAGACCCTTCAAGATCTCATTACTTATTTCATTTTTCAACCTAGGATGCTCATCAGGGCTGGAGGCAGAGAGATGCAGTCCCTATGCTCACCTGTGCCCAGCCTGCCCCAATCCTCGGCTTTCTGAACATGAAGCAGACTTCTACGACTTTCTGTCTGTTTCTCTGTATGTAAAGTCCCCCCGGAAAATGTCCCTTTTTGTAAGAATGCAGAACAGCAAACCTCACGTTGTATGTTAAGACCTGGCGATTTTGTGGTTTCTCTCACAGAGTGCAGGTATCTATGTGACATGCTCTGAAATGGCGCTGTGTAGAGCACCTACATCTTTTTTTTGATAACCAGGTATTCACAGAAAGAGATGTTTAGCATGCCTAGATGACACTGTCATTAAGGCATCCACAGAGGACTTCTCCCATCCTGTCCCACAGTAACTGTGTGGTAGGCTGTGACCAGGTGGGGCTGGAGAGGTGGGGGATGGAACACTGACCTGAGAAAGCTGTGCAGTGTTGCTGTGAGGGAGGTGGGGCTGCAGCACAGATCACTTTGTCAACATTTAGTGCTCTGTGGAACGTCAGTGGGTGGGATGGGAAATAGACAGGGCCAAACAAAGCCGGGTCAGTGAGACTGATAACTCTGGAAGCTGTTGGTGGGATGGGAAGTAATAAAGGGTCAAATGAGGTCAAGAGGTCAATGACATCTGTGGAAGTTGAACTGTGGCCCATGACGGCTGATCAGAGGACCCTTGCATTCTCAGAAAATTATAGTGGAAAATGAAAGATTTTACTCTTCTGAGCTGAGCCTTGCTGACAGAGAAATGATTTTAAACAATTATAAAATGAGAAGGAAGTAACAGGAAGAGTGTGCAGTCTTCTTCAAGTGCCAGAGAGCACTCAAGTGGGTGTCAGCATTTACTAGGCAAACTAAGAGTGCCAACCAGCAAGCAAGAGATGCCAATCAGAAGTTAGTCCCTGCCCCGCCCCCGACAGGTCACTCTGAAATGCCTGCTTCAAATAGATTTATCCACAGGCAGCCTGGACTAGATAAGGTCTCTGTACCCCGTGAGGCCGTTTGTTTTGACCCTGAGTAATTAACTCTAGGCTTACATAAGCTACATACATTATCACCACAGAGGCAAACCTCCAGCCCAGTCGACTTACATTTATAATAAGGACAGGGTCTCACTATGCAGCCCCAGATAGCCTGGAACTCATCATGTCTATAGACCATACTGGCCTCAAACTCACAGACATCCACCTGCCTCTGTCTCTCCAGTTCTAAGATTAAAGGTGTGTATCTAAGATTAAAGGCCTGGCTAAAGTATATACTTGAAATTTTAAAGAGAGAGAAGACACAACAATTTTATACAAAGTTGAGCAAACAGGGGAACACACTTTCCTGGCCCTGCTACTTTTGTTCTCGTATGCGGCATCCAGCCCTGTTGACCCGCACTACTCTGCACATGGATGTGATCACAAGCATCACCCCACTTTACAGTCTGCAAAGTGGGATTTTATTGGCTCACACTGACCTGTGTCTCACAGTTTACTGACACCTTTAATCCTAGGAGGTCGGGAGCTCTTCTCTCTCCCCTAAGGTACTTCCCCCTCAGCTGAAGGACAGCTATCCTTACAGAGCTTGGGACCTGCCTTAACTGTGGGGCAAGACCAGCGGGGATAGAAGAATCGGGTACTCACATTCACGGCCAGCATGTCGTTTTCGAAGGCCTCTCGAAGTTTCTTCATGATCTCCATCTCAGCGTTGGCACAAGCATCAATGGTACCCTTCACCGTGATGGTTCTCTCAGGGTTATATATGCTCAAATCCTGCAAGCTGGCCAAAGGGGGAAGGACAGGAAGAATACAATTCAGACCACAGACGACACATCCTGGTAAAGACTTGATTTCTCCTTATACTACGGTATAGAATGTCTGTCTGTCTGTCTGTCTGTGTGTATAAATGTATGTATGTATGTGTGTACTATGGATTGAACCTTAGCCTCACAGTGCTAGAAAGCCTTCTACCTCTGCAGTATATCTGCAGCCCCAAGTCTTACTTTGTACTCTGAAAGGTCTCTCTAAGACTTTCCTTCAGTTCACTGTGCAGAAAAAGCCTTGAACTTTTGGTTCAGCTGCCTCTTCTCCTGAGAGCCTTGATGACAGGTTTGTGCCACTGAAGCAACTGTATTTTTCATTTTAATAATTTTACGGTGCTGGGGGTGGAGCCCAGGGCCTCCCTCGTGCTGGTGAGAGCTCTGGTGGACTGTAGAGCCCACCTGCAGGTCTGCTCCCACTGCTGCCCAGAGTAACTAGCATGGCTGAGCATCTCTCCTCTGGGGAAAAGCAGAGCACAGGCAGGCTCATCAGTCATTCCTGCGCATAATTATTCTGAAGGGGTTGCTTACGATGAGATGGTTATCTTGGTCCCTGTCTCATGCTCAATTTTCTTCAGATTTCTGCCTTCTTTGCCAATCAGTCTTCCAACCAAGCCATTGTGGGCTAAGATTTTCAGAGGAACCTCCTCAGCCCTAAAAAGACAAAGCACATTCAACACTCAGGACAGACGCTGTGTGATTTCCCGAGAGCCATTACTTCACTTTTTATGAATGGAAACCATCTTTTTAAGCTTCTTTCCCACCCTCTGCTTATAAATCCTGACTGAAATGAGCCACACAGAGGTAACTCTACTTCCATTTTCTACTCGCTAGTAGCTAGATGCCAGTGAGTGGTCCATGAGGCAGGCCTGGCCACTGAGAACTAAATTAAAAACAAACAAACAACAAAAACAGAATCCCATGTAATCCAACAATCTCACTTCTGGATATTTATCAAAAAGAAACCAAAATCATGACTATTTGTAAATTGACATTCACAGTGCTATCATCAAGAAAGAGTCAAGGCACAGCAGTATAATCCAGACAAAGGGATGGATGTTTTATGTGCTATAGCTGGAAGAACTTGGGGACTGAGATAAATAAACCAGTCACAGGAAGGCAGATCCATGTGATCAACTCACGTTAAGTATCTAAAGCCTTGGTTCTCAACCTTCCTAACACTGTGACCCCTTAATACAGAGCCTCACAGAGTGGTGACCACACCATAAAAGGATTTTTGATGCTACCTCCTAATTTGGCTACCATTCTATCTGACATGCAGGACACCTGACATTGACTCCTGTGAAAATGTTGTTCAACTCTGGGGGGGGGGGGCTATGACCCCCAGGTTGAGAATTGCTGGTTTAAAGTAATGCAATTGGTAAGAACAGGAGGTGAACACGGAGGCAAGAACAGGCCTCCAGAAGCTGTTTCATGGGCAGCAGGAGGCTCAGGTTTGCAACCTGAGAAAATTCTGGACATGTGTTTTCTAATGGTGTGAATGAATATACTGTAGTGTGTATTTTACCACAACATTCTTCCAAACATTTAAAAAGGCATAGGAAGTGATGCCGCCCTTCCTTTCCAGTTTGGGTCACCTTTCTGTGGTGATACAAGATCTGAGATACTGTAAGGAAACCAAAGCAGAAAACTGTCCCAGATCTCTGAGCCCAAGGGTCCAGTGACCTAAGAGCTTTTCTAACTTAGGGCTTTGTGTAATGTGAGAATGTTTCTTACTACTTAAGTCACTTATGTATTCTACTACTTTAGAATGGAAGTGTGATTGGGAAGTCCTTCTGTATATATGTTTCTCTTATTGGTTGATGAATACAACACTGTTTGGCCAATAGAGGCAGGAAGATAGGTGGGACTAGGAGACAAGGGGAATTCTGGGCCAGGTAGGTAGAGAGAGATGACAAAAGGAGACACCATGTAGTGGAGGAACGAGTAACAGGTCTGGACCCTTCTCAGGTAAGATAAGACCACATGGAAATACTTAGATTAATAGAAACGGGTTAATAATTAAGACAGAGCTAGTCAATGAGAAGCTCTAGTCATTGGCCAACAGTTTTATAACTAATACAGCATTTCTGTGTGTTCATTTGTGGCTGAAGCAGCAGGACCCGGTGGAACAGAAACTTCTGCCTACAGAAGTGTCGGAGAGACACATTACTGCAAGGCATTGTCCCAAATGGCAGATGAGCCTGCCTGCCTTGCTCCCTGCCATGTCCCCATGTCTAGCACATGGTACCTGATACACACTAGGCAAATAAAAAGAAAGTTTAGTGTCTTTTCTTGTATCATTTGCCTTTTACTTGCCCCCTCTGGGTTCTGTCTTCCCTGGATACTCAAGTCACTCCATGTCCCTGAATCTTGGATGAGTGTCCTCATATATAGTCAGCAGGCTGGTTTCTCTCTCACCACTGCATTTATTTCTGCTCACAGCTGTAGCTTCAACATGAAGCTCAGTGTTTGGCACGGAGCAGCTGCTCAGAAAACCTTACTTCAGACATCCCAACTCTATCTTGTTCTATACGACATCTTAAAACCCCCATTCATAACCATCTTGTAGCTGTTTTGTTAGATGCATACAACTAATCAAAACAGCCAAGGAGGGTGATATTTGTAAAAGCCTCATAATTTAGATCAAAGAAGGGTTCCCTCAAACTAAGCCATGACATTTAGGGGACTTCAAAAAGTTCCAAGTAAAGTGAATACTTGATAACTGCTAGGTGAGGGGCTAAGTCCTGTGTGAGACATGATAACAGATTTGCAATGTTGCTTTTTAGAACACTAGTCTTGGTTTACACATCACACCTATTACTTGCCAAATGACCTTAATATTCAGCCCATTCCCTGCTCTGCTATGAGGCTGCCACCACTGCCCACAGACAAACTTTGAAGACTGACAATCTTTTTAAAAACTACAGATAGATTTAAGTAAAACCCAAGCTGCTGTGTCCACTTGTGAAGGATTTTTCTTTTCCTTCCTTCCTTCCTTCCTTCCTTCCTTCCTTCCTTCCTTCCTTCCTTCCTTCCTTCCTCTCTTTCTTTCTTTCTTTCTCCTCCCTCCCTCCCTCCCTCCCTCCCTTCCTTTTCTTTCTTTGTTTCTGAGACAGGGTTTCTCTGTGTAATCCTGCTTGTCCTGGGACTCTCTGTAGATCAGGCTGGCCTTGAACTCAGAGATCTGCCTGCCTCTGCTTCCTGAGAGTTGGAATCCAAGGTGTGCATTACCACCACCACCCAGCTGTTTTTAATTATATGAGGTGGGAAGACACACCTTTAATCTGGGCCACGCCTTCTGCTGGCAACCTACATAAAGTACACAGAAGAAGGGAGCTTTTGCTTTTTGCCTGCAGCCCTTGCTCTCACTGGCAAGTCCATTCCTTCACTGGCATTAAAGCATACATTTTCAGAATTCCATATACTGAAGACCATCTGAGACATGCAGCCTTATGAACTGAACATATGCTGGACTCCTAGATTTCTTGTTGGTAGACAGCCATTGTTGGACTAGCGAGACCACATAGATCATAGTCTGTAAGTCATTTTAATAAATTCTCTTTGTCCCTTTCTCTGTCTCTCCACACACACACACTTATATGTACACATAATATATTCATGTATGTATATATAATATATACAATATATAGTTATATACTATATTGATGTATATGAATACACACACACTTATATGTACACATAATATATTCATGTATGTATATATAATATATACAATATATAGTTATATATTATATTGATGTATATGAATACACACACACACACACACATAAATTCATTCTACCAGTTCTGTTCCTCTAGAGAACCCTGAGTAATACAAGCATGACCCCTCTATCTGTATTAACACACTTAGAGCTTTTAAATATATCTTTTTTTTTAATTCTCTCATATGTTACATCCCGACCGCAGTTTCCCTGACCTCCCCTCTTCCCCAGATCCACCCTCCCTCTGTCTTCCCTCAGAAGAGCAGGCCTCCCAGGACACCCACCAAACACAGCAAAATTTGCTACTCTATGTAAGACCAGCTACATACTGTCACATCAAGGCTGGTCGGGGCAACCCAGAGGGAGGAAAAGGGTCCCATTAGTAGGCGAAAAACTCAGGGACTGTCTCCACTCCCTCTGTTAGGAATCCCACAAGAACACCACACTACACAGCCCTAACATATATGCAGAGGACCCAGGTCAGACCCCTACAGGCTGCCTGATCTCTGTAAGCCCCCATGAGTCCTGAACAATTGATTCTGTGTGCTGTGTTCACCTGGGACTTTTTAACATATTTCTTAATCTTACAGCACTGAGTGGTCTGGGCATTGCACAAACTTACAGTTTAGTGTCTTCAGCCTCTTTCTGCATGATTTCGAGAATCATGCGGCATGCCTCAGATGTCCCTTCTGGGGTGGCATGGATGGTGACAGGCTTCTCTGCAGCCCCAGAGTTCTCCTTTCTGTGGATGTCTACCCTATAGGAAAAGAATCAGGAGCTATTATAGCACAGCAGCATTTGATGGGGCCTTAGACACCGGAAAGCATAGCCAATACCGTGAGTACAGAGGAAATCCTATCAGCACACTTGCAGCTGATGCTGCTCCTGGAGGGGGCTGAGTGCAAGCGGCTCATGCCATAAACAAATCCTTTGCAGCTCTGGTCAGAAGGGGGCCATTCCGACAGTAGGGCCAAGGCACCCAGCCAACTTGGTAATAAAGCCAGTTTGGTTAATGAAGTTTTTTTTCGTAGCCTTTCAAATGTCTGTAGACACGAAGGGTCAAGTGAGAAGGGAGTAGCACAAAGCAGCAGTTCTGACCTCTGCATGACCACAGCTTTTAAAAGCCATGTCAATCCAAATCCCAACACCAAATTCAGGCAAGCTTTATGCATCTGTGTGTTGACAGAGGGACGGAGGCGTACCTCTTTGCCATCCTAAGGTCTGCTGGCAGTCTGCCTTCTTCTAGGCTCTTAAAACTAACGGCTTAAGTCTGATGACTCTATGGATTTCTTTGGGTCCTGCTTGTTTTGTTCAATTTTGGAATCACATAACTGACCGTAGCCCCCTCTCATTTCAGTTGTTAGAAAAACCTGGTCCTCAGCTCCCTCCTCAAACCAGGGCATACACTTTGAGAACTAATTTTACTTCATTGAAACTTGAGTCACCTTACACAATGTTTGGAATCAGAACAGACAGAAATAAAAATTACTTCATAGTGATGCAAGCTTGGGAAAGGAAGGGCTGGTTTTTAGAATAAAAGGAACATCGATGACAACTTCTATTCTTCTATCAGTATTTCCCTCCAGGGAGCCTGCATGCTGGGTCTTATCATCAGTGTCTACAGCTGGGGGCTCCTCTGAAGGCTACAGGACGCTCACTCAGTGACTGGAATAAGACATGCCAGCTTGGGTAAGAGTATTTGCTGGCAATTTAGTGCTTTGCAAATGTGAGTTCATTTGATCTGCCCAATTTTTTGCATCTTGCAACCATCCTGTTAAAACACTGTGGCTTCCTTTTTCACAGTAGCAACTGATACTCAAAGAGGTGAGATACTTTATAAAAAGCTGAACATGAGTCACTGTTTTCAAGACCTGTATCTTCATTGCAGTGTGCCGTGGTCTTATGGACACATAAAAAAAACAATTGTACAAATCATTTTGTCCAGTGACTGCTACCTCCAGTTCAGTCTTCTTAAACAGAAAATCAGACACAAAGCCAGGTAGTTTCTTGTTTGGTGTTAGCAGTGACCCACAACTTCTACAGGAGACAGCCTAGATGGTCTACAGAATGGTTGCTCCAAGGCGGACCCAGCAGAAGGTAAGAGCCCAGAATGGAAGCTTCCTCTGACCACAGAGCCCCTCTGCTGCTGTGGAACTATATGTGCTCATAGAATGCTAGCATAAGAGGCTATCTTTCCTGAAGGCCCTTAGTGTTCTCTTCATGGACTTAGTCTTTCAGGGAATGAAGATTACATCATTAGCATGAACACTTATCACAGCCCCCACCTGAGGTGAGCCTGGTCATTGTCTATTGAAAGAAACACTGTTCCATAAGACACAGCTTCCCATCACAGCAGCAAGTGACCTGAAGATGGCAGAGATAGGATGCAGGTGACCCCTCAGAAGGAAGCAATGAAAGCACTGGAGGCACGTACCGGGATTGGGTCTGTTTAGTGATGTTCTTTATGGTCAAGCCTTCCTTGCCAATGATGGCACCAACAAACTGGGTGGGGACCAGGATCCGCAGCGGGAAATCAATCTGTCTGGTCTGAGAAGAGCTCCCGCTGTGGCCTTGTTCCCGGGAAGAGTGGTCCCCACGCTGAACTCGATGAGGGGGAGAAAGGGAGTTCACCTCTTCATCAGGGATATAGGAAATCTTGAAGGAGTAGTTCTCAAACTGATGCCCACTTAGCTTCTCAATGGCTCTGAAACACAGCAGGACAGGAAAGCTTATCTGAGAGTATAGGAAAGACTGAATGACTCACCTAGCTCCCTAGCCATGACTCGGTACTTCTGCCAAGCATCAAAGATACAGGGGTGAGCAAGACAAACCCCTCCTCAGCCCTGGAGTCAGGCAATGATTAAACAAACTTCTCCGTGTCTAGACCTAGGTGACTTAGACACAATTCTGCAGTTTTTGTTTCTTTCCCACCACTGGAGACTAAATCCCCCTCACCAAAAAACTGTAGGTAACAGAGACTAAATCTCCCTCACCAAAAACTGTAGGTATGGGTCCAAAATTATTACTTTCTTTTTAATCATAACACACCTTCATGATTTCTGCAATCATACCACAAAATTTAAATATATTTGAGAAATTCAGAAACACGTGAGCATAAATTAAGGAAACTTTATTCATCCTAATGTGTCCCTGTCTTTATTATATACTACTTACTAAAATGTATTAAAATGGTTATATTATTTCTAATCCTTAAAAAATCAGTTAACACTATATCCAATATTTTTATATAATTCATTGCCCACTCCACTTGACACAACTGGTTCACTTTGCTACTGAGCCTCCCTTTTAAGTTTGTAAATTGTGCCTAGGCTCTTGGAAATCACATGTTGTCACAGTGTAGCTCCTCCTCTGGGGCAAACTCCTAGAGATGAGCTGGCCCAGTGTCCACCTGGTAACGTTTCAGTATTTACTACTCTATATCAGTTAGGGTGTATTTAGTCCTCAATCCTCAAAGTTACAGACTTATCTAAAAATAACCATTATAAACAACAAAACTTAACTTTTGTATTTTAAAAATTGTACATGAATTGGGACAATGCCCTCACATGTTTTTGCAGAAATCCTACTGGGGTAACATTGAGGGTTTATGACTTCATTACAAGACAGAACCTTCTGAATTCAATGAAGGCAGGAGAAAAACGTGTAGATGCTACCCAAGTGGTGTTGGGCTATGGCTATGTTGGCCAGAGGTGGCAGAGCCTACCAAGCTTCACAGCTAATGAGGCTGTAATTTTAGCAATGAACAATTAACTTCTTGAGACTGTTGGTATGAAAATGGCTAAACTGTCTTCATATGTGGGGAAACTGCAATAGCAGAGTGCCCTTGGGAATGGGTACACAGTGGGCTATACACAGCCATGAAGTATGATCACCCATTATACTTCTAAGTTATACTGGCCTATGAGACACTTCAAGGACCTCAAACCAATAGAAACTTCTTAGCTAGGCATGGTGGTACATGGCTGTAATATTCCCCCCACCTTAAAAAGTCCAAAAGATTAAAAAAACTTGTTTTTTTGTTTCTGCTTTAAAAACGTAATGTCATGTCTGTTAATAGTAAACTCGAATCATTATGGAATAATCAATCATTACGGGATAAGTAGGGAGTCCAAGTCAGGCACATGGGTGGAACACTCCCAGATAATCAAGCCTGCTGCTGTCTCTGAGGTGGACCCTTTGTAAGACATTATACACAGGAAAACTGCTGCTTTAGTCTCCATTTAGCAAGTGTTCGAGGAGGCTATGCATATTCTTATAGAGAATAGAGCGTGCTCCAGTAAAGAGGCCCCAGGAAGCTTGTCAAAGAGAGCCTATGGGCGCAGGATCCTAACGCTGGTATCCGGCTCTTCCTGCCATGGTACTGCCTTTCTGCTGATGCCAAGGTTCGACGCTGTTTAAGACAGAGTCCATATACAACCACTCAACAGCCCAGACGTGCCCAAAATAGCAAGAACACCTTGGAGTTGTTGTACAGGCATGTCCAAAGGGACAGGGATACCCTGGAGTTGTCCTGGCATGTCAAAGAGGATGAGGACTGGCTGGCACCTGTCTTCTCAGGAAGGTTTCCAGAATCAGGACTCAAAGGAAACTAAAGACAAACCCAAATAAACCTGCAAGGAAATAAACCCAAACCCACTTACATCTTTGCTTCTTCTCTTGTTGCGTAGGTGACATTGACGACAGCAGTTTCTGTGTCTGTATTGACTAGGGAAGAAGTGAAAACTACATCATCATTTAAAAATAGATATCACCCCTGGCCCATGGAAAGCTAACCTCAGAGGAAAATAAACAAAACACCATATCATCTTAACTGCAGTTATTCTATATCTATCATTACAGAATTTGTAAATCAAATATATGTTACACTCTGTAATCATTTGCACATAAACATATTGCCCTGCATTTCAATTATTTCATTAGTACTTCTGACAAAATGGATTATCTCTGTATGCTTATATATTTTCACTTTTAATATTCGCATAAAATTGCAGGGAGCAAACAGGACAGGAACTGCTTCATCATTAGTCGTTTGGGGATGTGCTGACCCCAGTACTGTCAGCCTAGAGTGCTGTTGAGCGACCTCCATGGAAAACACCACTTGACTTTGTATTCTTTTTTTTTCTTTTTTTAGGATTTTATTTATTATGTATCCAACATTCTGCTTCCATGTGTATCTGCACACCAGAAGAGGGCAGCAGATCTCATAATGGATGGTTGTGAGCCACCATATGGTTGCTGGGAATTGAACTCAGGACCTCTGGAAGAGCAGTCAGTGCTCTTAACCTCTGAGCCATCTCTCCAGCCCTCGACTTTGTATTCTGAATTACTTCTTTATGCTAAAATCTCAAAGGAAAAATGGGTGGAAGAACATGACACAAAGTAAATAAAGAAAAGAACACCATGATTCTTTGTGCTTCATATTTTCAAGCTTGTAGACCTATTTATTATTAATTTTAATTGTTGATTTAAAACACACAGAATGCTAAAAAGGTTTCCTATCTGTAGCTTTCGAGAGCTAAAGACAAGGTTGTAGACTCTGACTTCCAGAAATGGCTGGGCTTGAGCCTTCTAGTTGCAATATCCTCCACATATAAAAAAGACAGTAAGAGAAGTCAGCTGTGTGTGTGTGTGTGTGTGTGTGTGTGTGTGTGTGTGTGTGCATCCACCCATCCACCCATCCTAACAATGGAAGATTGAGGCAGGATAGTAAGCCTGGGCCACACAGCAAGGCCCTGTCTCTAAACAGTCATAGACAAGCAGACAGACAGACTATTCATTCAAAGGGCTTCATTGATGAAGCTTGCTTTAACCCAGAAAACCTAAATGAAAAGTATGTTTTCAGAAAAAAAAAAAAACCAAGAATGACTAAGTCAGGTTGGGGAATTTAAAGTTAACAGCATTAAAAAGCATCCCAGAAAGTCACAATAAAGCTCCCTTTCAAAGCAGCAATATTCATTCTTAAACTTTAGTAGGAGTTCTAGGGCCATCCCACTCGTGACATCATTAAAATGTAAAGAAATGTGACCCTGAGATTCTCAAAGGAATTTAGCATCCCCCAGATTTTAAAGACTCTAGGATAAAAACACATTTTGCCCAGGAATTTTAAAGCAGCTTCAGACTTGGCAGGGGATATTGGTGGACAGGTAGGAGGTACACAGTCAGCAGTAACTATCAGTACAATGTTCTACACACCATCACTGCCAATCCCAGCCCTGGCCTCCGTCTTGGTGCACTCAGGATCCAAACAGTTCTTACAGATACCCTCACAGTGCCAAACAGGGCTTGTGTGGTATATCATTGTCCTCACCCAGTGTCAGCACAATGTCAAAGGTTTCCAGTCTGTAGCCTTCTAGACCGACAGAGAAAGCTGGAGACTCAGACACCCAGGAAAGGCATCCTCTACAAATCCTGGCTCCTTAGATTTTGCTCTCACTTTTCACTAATAGTCTCTTTTCTTCAAAGATGTCTGTCTTCTGAAAGTCACGTGGTCCTTGATTCTGGAGTAAGCTGAGCTCCATTTAAATAATTTATTTCATTGCTCATTGAAGCCATGTTCCTAAGTCTCTACTGATGGGCTCTGCCGGATAGAAATCACCCATGAAACAGGACAAAAGAACAGCTCAATAGTTTGCTCTATGCCTCGAGGCACTGGAAGCTGGGCAGTCTCCAGCGCTCGGGTGCTGAAGGGCTGCATGTTACCCTTGAACACATCCTTTCTCAGGTAGCACCATCCTGAATTTATTTCATGGTGTTAGCTGTTAATCTGTCTCCATTGCTCCAAAACTGGGATTTCAGGCATGTGCCAACACATCCAGATCAGCACTTTGTTTTTTAAAATTTTTTCACGTTCGCATCTATAAAGCTGTCTTACCACCAGAATGTCTTCCTTTCAATGATAAGGAAGTGAAAACTGAGAACAGAATTCATAGAAAACATGTTTTCTTCTGAGTGCTTTCCTTTTATCTCTGAGTGTGGGCACAAACACGTGAGCACACTCTAATAACTGCTGCTTCAAACCAATTTCACTGACAGACTTGACCGTCTGTGATAAACCGGATTCTATATGATCGTTTCCTGAGGACTTTATGATTCCTTACAAGTGTCTACAAAATACTTCAACAGGTTCTCATTGAGTGATGCGACCATTCAATGCCATAGGAAGGGGTACAAATTATGCTGGATTTTATACAAGTGGAGACGGAATTAGTGCGGTTCAGTTGGTGAGGCTGAGCGACTATTCCAAGGGTTCTCAGGCAGGGGGCGGTCAGGGCCAATATAAAAATCTTTGCCATATTGTGGTGTCTTCATTGTCAGGGTTTTGGGATCTACCTTTCTGGACTTCCTACAGAGCTATGTAGGACATCAGTCTCGGGGGCCTTTTTGGTCCCCCTTAAAAGCCAGCGCTTCAGGCGCTAGACAATAAAAATGAGTAGCAGAAGAGAAGCAAGTATTTCCTGGCATGCAGTGCTGTTCCTATGATGGTGAGCCTCAGATCTGAGTGCACATAAAACCACTCAGACATTCTTGATTCAACCATGATCACTCTCTCCACCCCGAGTGAGTCTCCGCAGGTTGGCGGTGAACCTCAGGAACCTACACTTTCGTAAGTGTTCCAAGAATCTTGGTGGGGAAGTGCTACCTCATAGTAAACAGACCTTAGTTAGGTTGTGTCCTCACCTCCTGGTGTGGTGGAGTTAGTTAAGTAACAGCAGTGTAAACTCAACTGTTCTCAGATGAATTAAATTTGCCCTGCCCCAACTGGGCTTGTCCAGCACTTTACACTCACTGCAGGTGTTAAGAAGCCTGAATGCTTGCTGGGGTGGCCTCACCTTTAATCCCAGCATTCAGAGGCAGAGGCAGGTGGGCCTCTGTGAGTTCAAGCCCAGCCTGGTCTACATGGTGAGTTCCAGGTCAAACAGGACTACATACACAAAGAGACTCTGAAAGAACATTCCTTGAACAACTGAACTATATGGATATATAGAGATGGCAGATAGACACAGATGCCTCTGGCAGGCAGGTCTACAGACAGACCCTAGAGGAAGCATGTGTCAAAAGCATCGGGACTTACTACTTACTACCCCAACCTGTAAGAAATAACTGACAATGTCCTCTCCTCCAAAGTCCAGTGAGCTAAGATGCCTCACGCATGGGTTTAATTTCCTCACTCATTACCTTGCTCCACATTCTCCACTGTCCCACACTCAGCCAACAGTCCATCCAACACCTGTAAAGGAAGAGGAAGAAAGGAGCATAAAAAAAAGACACTGGTTTCCCTCTGCAACCAATACACACTAAAACAAGGACATAGGAATAATGTAAATCAGTTGGCATTTCAGGTGTTCCATAAGAACTCAACAAATCAGGAATATTCAGGGCTATTTTCTCCCCCAAATGGTTCCCAATGACCCATTCAGTAGGATGACACCATACAATTTCAGAATCTTGGTACATGATACTCCTATTCCTTTTTTTCTTTCCTTTTTAAAGACAAACAGAAAACACAGCTTTCTTTAAGGCTGGTTTGGGAGTTAGGACCGTTTGTTTTTAACCGTAGGGCCACTCCTCGAAAATTTTAAAATAGCAGTCTTAGACCTTTTAGTGCCCTGTAGATCTTTAATGGTTACTCACAGCAACTAACTCAAAACAAAAACAAACAAACAAACATCAACTCTAACAAAGAACTTTCTGTTTCCACAGGTTTCAGGTGCCTCAGCTAATTGGAGTGTGAAACAACAAAAGTCTTCCATTAGATCATGTGACAGGAATCACAAAAGGGTTACCTGGCTGGTGTGCTGAGGCTTGAGGCCAGGCACCTGAGGGAGAAGACGTGGGTGAGGTAGGGGTCGGTGCACTTTACTATGAGGGACAAACACAACCTCTAACTCACGTTATGTGTCATTGCACTGGAAAGGAAGGACAGGACCCAGAATTCTGGGGACAAGTCTCAAGGCCTCAAATTCCGAGTGTAAAAGGAAGCCAAGCTAAGAGGTGCCTGGGTGCCCAGCTTACTTACCTCCCACTGCAGGTGAGGCGGAATGTTCCGGATTTGAATTTTTCTGCTCCTGTAAAGACAAGATCAGTCTAAATCATTTTCTCCGTACACTCCAACTTCAGCAAATAACAAAATCAAACACAGGGTCATAAATTAAGTTCACTGTCCAACTGCATTTATCAAACCATCCACAGAACAATCCTACAGTGGACGATAGGCTCTGTGTTTCAAGGTTTCCAATTACCTTGGGAGGAAAAAAAAAAAATCCAGAAACCGTAACAAGCTAAAGAAACTACAATTTAAGTACAGATTTACACTCCCAATTTCCTACTAGTCAGTCAGAAGATAAACCACCACACAATTTTTCTACGACCATCCTCTCAAAATAGGCATACATGCTTCCAAGTGATCCATTCCTAGGCGCAAACGCAATGGTAAGGTCACAAATACTATGGGCTCAAACACAATCAGATTTTGTGTCATGTCAAATTTCATTTAAAAATTTATTTCTGAAAGGTAATTTATTTGTAATTCAAAATTAGAACCTCATAAAAATCTCCCACCTCCCGATCCTCACCAAAGCGAGGATCGTCACCCACTCGTTGCTGTGCGTCCTCAGTTTCAGGTAAATCCAGACTCTGGTCTCACAGAAGCACCTGCTCGTTCTCCGCAGTCTCTATCTGCTTTTTCACGGGACAGTAACAGGCTGCCCATCTTCTTATCTTAGGAAGTTTCCGAATCTGTTTTCATGAATGTCCGCCATTTCATCCAGCCACCCCCTTATCATTTAAACCTCTCACTGGTTTGTTTGTTTGTTTGTTTAGAGGCCTTTCTTAAGACATCCTGATAGCTGAAGGTGCTAAATGATTTAGGTATCTTCTTCTGTTTGTTTTGATTTGGTTTCTCAAGACAGGTTCTCTCTATGTAGCCCTGGCTGTCCTAGAACTTGCTCTGTAGACCAGCTGGCTTCAAACTCATACCTGTCTCTGCCTCCCTACTGCTGGGACTAAGGGCCTGTGCCATCCTGCTCTTCTGTTTTTTAATGTAAACATTAAAATTACATAGAAAGAAATAAGCCAGGCATGGTGACTAGGTTTCTTATACTAACATTCATGAGGCAGGAGGGTCATAAGTTCAAAACCAGCCTGGGAAGGAAGGCAGCATGGTCTTTCTCTTCCTACCTGCTGAGAGCATATAAAACCCTGGGAAGACCCATCAGGGTGCAGAGGTACCACTTCCACTGAGCTCTGATTCCACCTAACCTCATTTGGGAGGATGCTGGAGAAGGGATGTGGGCCCCATTCCTTCTCCCTTCTTTCTGGTGCCAGTATCTCCAAACAGTAGTTGGGCACAGTCACATGCTTCCCCATGGCTTGAACCTAGGCAACAGCTTTAGAGGAAAATGATGTGATTTAAGCCAAGAGAGGAGGAGGAACAGAGAAGTACAGAATACAAAAGACCAGCAAAATGAGGAGCTCATTTCCTCCCAAAGTACCTAGGGACACCAGAGGACAACCTCGGGTACTGTTCCCCCAGATGGCAGCAGCCTAGAGACAGGGTCTTTCACTGGCTGGAGCTCCTCAAAGTTACTAGGTACACTAGGTTGGCTGGTGCAGGGATAACATGTGTGAGCTGCCCTGTACTTTTTAAAAGTGTGAATGTGTTGTCTTAATGGCTAGTACGGGTTAGGATGCAGAACCTCCCATCTTGTGGCAGGATTGAGAGAGAAGCAAGAATCAAGAGCTACTTTTCTGTTTCCATGCTGTGAAACCTGGTTTCTCATGCTCTTCAGCCATAGTTCTTAATGAAGAGGCATACCTATGGTGGCTGCACAGAAATTCCCTACAGAAGATGCCACCAAACCCATCTATAGAAAAGTCACCAGAATTTAAGAAAATAGAGTATTTCCAAAAAAAAACAAAAAAACAAAACCTTTGTTATTTCCAAATATAAATATTGACTGACTGTGAACCAAGAGTCCAGCCCATTGAAAGCACCTTATTCATGAGCTCAAATCTATTTCACAAGGACAGCTACTGCACACTAGGTAGCTACTGGCAGATGATAAATGAGTGAGAGCATGGCTATAACATACAGGAACACACAGCTGTTAAAAATGGAGTAGGTATACACACACCCTGTACCTACAACGATTACATTTTTTCCTCCTGCAATATGTGCACACATGGTGAGCAGTGGCAATGTCGTGGACGAATCATAAAATGACTCAGGAAGGAATGTGTAGCTTTTCCCTTCAACATCAAACTCACTGTAGATTTTCACCCAACCCTCTCCTCCTGGAAGGGTTATTCCAGAAACTTCCCCATAGGTGGGACACGTGGAAAATCACCTGCCAGGCTGTGTCATGTCTCACGAGGTAAGATCAAGTTTGAGAACCTCCTCAAAGTATAAGTGGAACAAATTCCAGAGAGCGCCCAGAGAAGGGTAAGGGGGCATTGCCTACGAAGAAGACACAGTAAATTCAGGAACGTGAGACATTTGATAAAAAGACTGTGTCTGTCTTTGTGCATCCCACAGTTGCTTCTGCTTTCCAAGGATAAAACAGAAAAACAAAAACAAACAAAAAGAAGCAAGCATTCCATTTCGTCCCTTTCATTCTGCTGTGCCGATGTTCTGTTGAGTGGTGATGGGGTGTTCTGAGACAGGGTTTTAGAATATAGCTCAGGCTGGTCTTGAACTAGCTTTGTAGCCCAGGCTTGGCTCAAACTCATGATCCTCCTGCCTCAGCTTCCCCAGTGTGTACTGTCATGTGTGATGAAGTTAACAAAACCCATTCCTAGAAAAGTGATTAACTACCTCTATATGGGCCCTGACTTAACATCTGTAATTAAGACAACCATGATATAAATATTTACATACAGCTGTGAATTCAGATACGTAACACAAAGGACCCAAGTTCTAATCTGAGTGTATGAGACCTGCTTCATGTGTCCTCCTCAGCATCGCACCCACTGACTTCGCTAAGTCACACCGGATCTACCCTGTGCAGCCTCCTCTGCGGCCAGCATCCTTCTCACTTTTCTTCTTCTGCCCCAGAAGGTAGGACCACAGCAGTGTTCTGTGACCAGCAGCCACAGAGCATCTGTTGCCTTCTCCTGGTCCACTCCACTTTGTTGTTGACAGTGGCTCATCTTTAAATAAGCCATTTTCTTTCATTCCACATTATAAACAACGAGCCAACATCATTAACTCCCCTACAAAGAAACTATGCTCACACTCTTTATCATTACAATCATGATGATGAATATTAATGTTAAATTCTCTCTAGAGTCCTAAATCCCAAGGCAGCTGGAAAGCTGTACAAACACCAAAACACACCCTCTCCCTCATGGGTGCCTTCCTAGGCCAATCAAAGTATGTCTGGTCAGAGGTTTTATCTCATCCACACTGAGGGCTGGAGTCCTCAACAATCAGAACACCTGTACCCAATATTCCTATCCAAGGCTAATAGCACTGTGGCTGACTTTGCAGAATAGGATGATCTTTAAGTTTTAACTATAAATGTTGTCAGATCATGTAACAAATACCCGATAAGTGTCTATTAGAAGCCAGTTGTTCAATCTGTGGGCTGCATGCAACCCAGGATAGCTGTGAATGTGGTGCAGCATGCTTGCAGATGACATCATGTCACAACCAAAAAACTAAACATCTATACGCTGGGGTGCCACAGCAAACAAAGCAAAATTAGGCTGGCAGCTTTACTCTCTAGGGAGTGAAATACCAGCCTCTATTTTCATAAATACTAGGATATAACTTACAGTTCTTTGCTCAATCCAAGTCCTTATCTTTTCCCAGCTCATTTTTAGATTTTTTTTCCTGCTAAAAACAAACCATCTTTAAATGCCTGTGCCTGCATAACATCTTTATGGCATAACACACTCTAGTAAAGGCAAAGCACCCAGGGAAAGCTGGTGCTGAATGTGGGCAGGGCACCTTCACTGTGGCATGGTCATGTTGGGGAGGCTCTCCTCTATGCCCACACTCTGCCCCTGCATTTAGCTTTCCTAATTTCTCTTTGCCACACAAGAGAGCACTCTGGGAAAAGACTGACAGAAACCTAGGACGCATCTGTGACATGCTCCAGAAGGAAGAACAGGAAGAAGAAAATTTTAATGGCTATTTCTTCCCAGTGCAAGGTGAGCCAGAAAGTTAATTTTTCAGAAGGGAGGGGAGGAGGGGCAAACACCTGTAATCCCAGCTCTCTGGGACCTGAGATAGTAGAAATATCCCAAGTCCAAGGCTAGCCTTGTCTACAGAGAAAATTTGAGAGCAGTCTGTAATAAAGTCAACAAATGAAAGAACAAGCAAGAAGCATATTTTGAATGATACAAGGAGATGCCAGTCAATGACCATCTCAGGAGTCCAAGCAGGTGCTGTGGTTTTGGGATTGCTGAGGGTCCCTTAGGACTAAAGTCTGGTCCATGGGGTACGAGGCAGGAGCACACACCTTATGGGGGCGAGGGAAAGTCTGGGAAGTAGGCAAAGCCAAAGGTTCTTGGGTCACTGGGGACATGAGGCATTTCCTTGTGACTCCTTTGGCAGCTCTTACACTCCTTGTTCAAAACATCATCACATGCTCACTGGTGCAACTCCCTTTAGTACTATTCACACGAGCCCACACACTCACCAGAAGCTCAAGTCAAATTTGTGTGTTAAATAACCCTTTAGTCCCTATAAAATTAGCCGCCTCAGGTATCTGTTACAGCAATGGAAGGGTAATGTCCAGCATGTTGATTCTTTTCAAGTCAGCTTCCAGCACTAACGTTACATGATTTGAATATATAGAAAGTTACTTTTGAGGATGAGGACATAGTTTGATCATGATCAAGGACTTAAGCTCAGTCTCCTAGCACCAAAACCAAGGTGGGGATTTAAACTCACATTAAAAACAAAACAAAACAAAACAAAAAACCCGAAGAATCTATTTTTAAAACAGATGAGAAGACTGTGGACAGACAGACAGAATAAATTTTGCTTATTTTTGAAAACTATTTTTTTCCTTGAAATTTCCTATGTATGTACTACGTTAGGAGGCCTGGGCAGTCTATG